TCCTCCTCCGTCCTCCACATGCTCCTCCTCCTCCTCCTCCTCCTCCTCCTCCCTCCTCCTCCTCTTTTTCCGCCTCCTCCTCCCCCTCCTGCTTCTTCTCCTCCTCGTCCTCCTCCTCCTCCTCCTCCTTCTCCTCCTACTCCTCCTCCTCCTGACCTCGCCCACCTGGCCTGACTTTCGAAGCGGATCCAGCCGTGGCGACGAGAAGTATCCCAAAAGGCCTACCAAAAGAAGCAACAACACGAAGAGGAGGGGCCGCCGTTGTCTCGTGTCTCGACTGGCCCCGAACTCCCCCCGTCCCTCCCCCCTGAGGCAGCTCCCCCCCCGTCAACGCCCCGAACGGCGCCGACAGATGGGGCGAAACTTAAACGAACATTGGACGACGCCAACCGTGTACCAGACCAGCTTGACACACAATTTCGCGCGCGCCAGCGCGAGCGAACGTGCATCGGACTCGCCTGGCACGTGGTCGGCGGCGCCCCAAATCTAAAACAAGTGCGATCGACACAACCTCTGCTTTGAGCGATCCCCACCCGAGAACGCGAGGCGGGACATCCGGGGAACATCAGGAGCCTTGGAGCCTGGCGGCCACGGTATGCACTCGCCACTCGCCGAAGACGCGAAGCGGCATGCCCAGGGAGCACAGGGACCGCCTGGGGCCTGGCGGCCGCCACTGTCAGGAGGTGTTCGAGACGGGTCCCAAGCTCTCCTTTCCCGAACTCCTATCTCGAGATCGAACCACCCCGAACTGCCTCGTGGGGCTCCTCCTCCTCCTCCTCCTCATCTTCCTCCTCCTCCTCTTCCTCCTCCTGCTCATCCTCCTCCTCCTCCCCCTCCACCTCCAGACCCCATCCCCCCCCAAGCGGGGCGACGTGGGCGACGACCCAGCAAGCGCGCACCCAAGCAGGCCGACGGTCCCAAGAGGCCGCAGCGTCGCCGATACCGTCCCCCTTCGGGGTCGCACCGGCCGTAAGGCCTTCGCAAGACCGTCCGAGATACAAGTCCAAGTCGCCGATCCCCAACCAAGCGGGGCGACGCGGGCGACGACACCCCGCGAGCGCGCCCCAGCAGGCCGCCCCCAACGGCGGCGGCCACAGCAGCAGCCCCCGCACGCGGCGGGGACCCCCCGGCGCGGGGCGCGCGGGAGGGTCCAGCCCCGCCTTGGGGGTGGGGAATGGCCCTGCTGCTCCTTCTCCTCCTCCTCCTCCTCCTCCTCCTCCTCCTCCTCCTCCTCCTCCTCCTCCCCCCCTCCTCCTCCTCCTCCTCCTCCTCCTCCCCCTCCTCCTCCTCCTCCTCCTCCTCCTCCTCCTCTCCTCCTCCTACCTCCTCCTCCTCCTCCTCCTCCTCCTCTCTCCTCCTCCTCCTCCTCCTCCTCCTCTCCTCTCCTCCTCCTCCCCTCCTCCTCCCCTCCTCCTCCTCCTCCTCCTCCTCCTCCTCCTCCTCCTCCTCCTCCTCTCCTCCTCCTCCTCCTCCTCCTCCTCCTCCTCCTCCTCCTCCTCCTCCTCCTCTCCTCCTCCTCCTCTCCTCCTCCTCCATCCTCATCCTTCTCCTCCTCCCCATGCGGACAGCTCGCGGTAGCACTAGGGGTGGGAGCAATGTAGGACGCGTAGGGTACCAATAAGGAGGTTAGCAAATAACTCCCCATGAGCACTTCCGCTTACACCCCTAGGGTCAGACAGGCGTGGCGACACTGGCACATCCCCCATCCCTCTAGCCGCTTGCGTCTTGTTGTCCAAGCCCTGTCATGTGTCTCGCCCCTCTGTGCCTCACCTTCGTCTTCCTCCTCCTCCTCCTCCTCCTCCTCCTCCTCCTCCTCCTCTTCCTGCTCCTCCTCCTCCTCCTCCTCCTCCTCCTCCTCCTCCTCCTCCTCCTCTTCCTGCTCCTCCTCCTCATCATCATCATCCTCCTCATCTACCCCCCTCCTGGACCTGCTAGTGGCACATGGGGCACCCTGTCCACAGCATTGCAGGCGGAGGACTGTCCCTCGCCTCCCGAGCACGGCCCCGCTGCAAACCGCAAGGAGCCGTCCAGGCGGCCAAGAGGCAGCTCGGGCCTCGCTCTGTCCCTCCTCTCCCTCTCTGTCCTTCTCTCTCTGTTTTTCTCTCTCTCTCTCTCTCTTTATATCTCTCTCTATATCTCCCCCTGCTGATCCGCGCCCCTCCTGTGCGTCTTGCTTCACATGATCGCTCCTCAGTTTTCTCGCTCTCGCTCCAAAGCTCACCCGCTGAGGGCCTCCAGGCGGACAGGGAGAAAGCTGCACGGCCCAACGGCCATGATTGGACCTGTGCCATCCCCACAGGGAAGTCACGGTTGAGTGCGCAACGGGGCGCACAAGATGACACGGACCGCCAGTCCAACTCTCGCCGTCGCTCGGACGCCCACTTCCCGTGCATGTTTCGGTTTCGTGCGTGTTGTTTCTGCTCGTTGGTCGAGGATGGTCCTCGATGGTTCTCGCCGAGAAAAAATGCACACGTCCAAGCCATGCCAGGAACTGCGGGCCGCCATGCCCTCCTGGGGCCACCAGCGTGTGAGGCTCCCTCCCCCCGGAGCAGCCCCTGCTACGACCGGGGCCGACGCGGCAGCACCTCTCGCCACTCATCCGTCCCTGGCCGCTTCCTCCTCCTCCTCCTCCGCCTCCTCCTCCTCCTCCACCTCCTCCTCCTCCTCCTCCTCCACCTCCTCCCCCTCCTTGTGCCCCCTGCTTCTCGCCTCTCGCTGTGGATGTTCACCCCTCAAGTACATGTACTCTGGGTTTCTTAAACGTGGGGGGGTACACCCCCGACGGGGGTCAACCTCGCCACGTCGTCGCGCCGCGACGGGGGTCGGAGCGCCTTCGGAGCGCGGTGTCGACGGGGGTGACGCCCCCCCGTCGTTGATTAAGAAACTCGGAGTAGGCGGAACTAGGAGAACGAACAGTGACATAAACATGAAAACTCGGAGGTCCGCGCGGATTTCTCGGATCGGCGCTGGGGCCCCCCAGCGGCGCCTCCGGCGCCGCCCCTGGCGCGCTCCGCGCGCCAGGAAGGGGGGTCCAGCGCCGATCCGAGAAATCCGCGCGGACCTCCGAGTTTTCATGTTTATGTCACTTTTCGTTCCCCTAGGTATGGAGGCGGAGAGAGCTTCACAGCCGAGCTGCAAAGCCGAGGCAAGTGCCTCCATGTGGGTCTCGCGCGCACGCGCCTCGTGGTGCAGGCCACCACCTCTCGGTCTGGGCCGCAGGGCTCCCTCGGAGGTGCCGCACACGTGGTGCTGCCCCTCTGGAGCTGCCCCTGCCAAGAGCAGGACCGCCACGGCGGCACAGTCAAAAACCCAAAGAAGGACGCGCGGTGAGGACGCAAGACCCTTGAAGCCGAAGTTGGGATTTCTGGGGCGGCGGACGACGAAAACCTCAAGGACGCAAGAGCAAGGAAGAGCAAGGACGCAAGGGTACCCTGAGCAACGTCGCGCGTCCTTATTAGGGTTTTTGACTGTATCGCTCTCCCTCCGTCCGTCCCTGTCTTGCTTCGCGTCCCTCCCGTGCCTCCGGCCACCCCCCCGCACCTGGAGCTCCCCCGCGGAGAGAGCGCGCCGAAGCGGGCGGACAAGGAGAGGTCTGCGCGGCCGAGCGGCCCGTCGTCGCGGTCGCCGCAGCGGCGGTTGTCGGGATAGGGAGGGTGGCCCGGGAAGCGTGCCCTCCCCCCCCCCCCACCCCCCCCAAATACACACAACCCCACCGAAGGCGCGTACCCACATTCCGCTTTGCCGAGAGCCAGGGCTGCAGCGCGGACGGGCACCCGCCCACCGTGGGGGAGGGGACCGAGGGGGGGAGGGGAGGCAGCAGCGGCAGCGGCGAAGGGTGCCTGGACGGTGGTACTCGAACCCACAGGGAGCAACGAGTACGAACTCGTCGCAGGGCTCTACGAGGAGGAGGAGGAGGAGGAGGAGGAGGAGGAGGAGGAGGAGGAGGAGGAGGAGGAGCCATTCACTCCGCTCGCTGGACACCCCCTAAACGGCATGAAAAGCAGTAGCAGTAGGGCTTAGTTCGAGGCTGGGGCCCTCAATTGACTCCTCCACGAAGGCACGCTGTGCTTCTCCAGAGCAGCTTCCGTCTGGAGGAGGCTCATGGAGGCTCACGCGAGGCCAACATCCCAAGCGCAAGGACGCGTGTACTGAGTACCTCGATGAGCATCTGCTTCTGTAAGCCTTGCTGCAGCCATCAGATCACTTGCCCGCATCGCTGTGTTTACCAGCGTTCAGGTGCAAGGCAGGCAGAAGACGGGCAGGGCTGTGCTGAGCGGCCCGTGCCAGGGCACGTCATGCTGCCTGCGGGCAGTCGGCATGGCGTAGGCGGGTCCTCTGAAACACGCGCTGAATCCTGGGTGCTCCGTAGAACAAAAAGGCCACCGTCATCAAAGCCAGTCGTCTATCCGATCGCTTACGCCGCGACCCGCTGCCGCTGGCACCAACTTGTCCCTCCGCCCCTCCAACGACCAGCTGTTGGAATCGTGCGCGCCTGGCTGGGCCCCCTGCCCATCACCGAACCGCGGGGGCGGCTATTCGGACTGACCGCTCCAGATCACCGATCCAACCAACCAACCTTCATCTTCCACCTCCGACCTGACATCCAGCGAGGGTGGCCCTGCATTGGCTCGTCACCCGTCCAGCACATGACTGCACGCCGGCATGGCGCAGGCATGGACGGTGTGGTAGTTGCTCCCAGAGCCGCGCAACATACCGCAGTTGAGCTGACCCGCTCTGGTCACCACCTCATGGTGTCGCACAAGTGTTGGACAACTGCTTCTCTCTCGGGCCTACTGACTGGTCGACTCATGTCGCCCATCTTCCCGAATCCGGTCTTCTCTATCCCTCGCTGCCTCCCATATCGAGCTTCTGCTTGCTACTCTGCCAGGATCTCATTACAAACTGTCACTGCCACAAGCCCGCGAATCAGGCCACCCTGCACGTTCCCGGCGTATTGCGCACGAAACGCTCGGTAATGCTTTCGACCTCACCGCCCCCGG